CGCGCTGGGGCCCTCGGGGCAGCTGACAGGTGAGCAGGGGCCTGCGGGCTGGCCGGTGGGGGTGTCTGGGGCCCGGCTGCCCACCGCCTCTGTCCACAGCGACCCCCGCGGAGGTGTTCCAGGCCCTGCGGGAGCTGGGGCACCAGAACTTCCGCGCCGGGCAGGAGCGCGCGGTCATGCGGGTCTTGTCTGGTGAGCAGGGCCCCGGGGGCTGGCTGCGGGCGGGGACGGCCCGGCCAGCACCACTGACCCGCTGCCCTCCCAGGCCTGTCCACGCTGCTCGTGCTGCCCACGGGTGCCGGCAAGTCCCTGTGCTACCAGCTCCCGGCCCTGCTCTACGCCCGGCGCAGCCCCTGCTTTGCACTGGTCATCTCTCCCCTCCTGTCCCTCATGGACGACCAGGTGGGCAGCAGGGCCGGCAGACAAAGGCGGGTGTGGGGACGGGCCTCCCAGCTCCTCTGGTCCCCTCCGGCAGCTGCCCCGGCCCTGCCTGCCCGGAGCTGGGGGGCCGGCCGGTCTCGTCTGGGGGTGCGGATGCGGTGCCCCGGCTCTGTGTCAGTGCTCATGCCGGCCCAGCCACCTGGCCTCGGGCCCAGGCGGGGGGTCGGTCAGTGAGGGGCAGTGGTGTGCTGGTGTCCACAGGTGTCTGGGCTTCCCCGGGGCCTTGAGGCAGCGTGCGTCCACTCGGGCATGACCAGGCAGCAGCGTGACGCCGTCTGGAGGAAGGTGAGGGGCTCCTAGCGGGGGACAGTGAGGGCCGGGGCGTGTGGTCAGTGCTGACCTCGGCGTGCCTGCAGGTCCAGGCAGCCCAGGTGCAGGTGCTGATGCTGTCGCCTGAGGCGCTCGTGGGGCCTGGAGGCTCCGGCCGCCCCGCCCTGCTGCCCCCAGTCTCCTTCGCCTGCCTGGACGAGGCCCACTGCCTCTCCCAGTGGGCCCACAACTTCCGGCCCTGCTACCTGCGCGTCTGCAAGGTGAGGCCCGCCAGGTGCTGTGGGGGGCCCGCCGGCCGGCAGCTGCCGCAGCCTCACCCCCTCCCACACAGGTGCTGCGGGAACGCTGGGGCGTGCGCTGCTTCCTGGGCCTGACCGCCACCGCCACGCGCCACACGGCCAGGGACGTGGCCCGGCACCTGGGGGCGACCGAAGAGCTGGGGCGCGAGCTGCTGGCCGCCATCCCCAGCAACCTGCACCTCTCCGTGTCCACGGACAGAGACCCCAGCCAGGTGGGCACGGGTTCCCCAGGTGGCGGGCGGCGGCCCAGCCCACGCTGACCACTGTGCCCTGCAGGCCCTGGTGACGCTGCTGCAGAGTGACCGCTTCCGAGCTCTGGACGCCATCATCGTCTACTGCACCCGCCGCGAGGACACGGAGCGGGTGGCCGCCCTGCTGCGC